TCCACCCTTTCTTCCCCGGAGGCGGGGGAGGTCACGGGTTACATAACCCAGGCCACCGCTGCATAGCGGCTGCACCCGGCCAAACCTGCCCATCGGGGGCCACGCGCCCGGGGCTCCAGGAGAGCCCGAGACGGATGCGTGATGGAGAAGGGACTGGACAGAGATGGGCGATGGGCGATGGGGGCGGGGAGTAGACGGACGTGACCAGAACGGAGTGGGAGGGGCGAGGACCGCGCGGCGCGGAGGACTAGGATGCGGAGGAGCAGACGTGACCGGAATGGAGGGGAGGGGCGAGAAGCGGAGCATGAATGGGGCAGGGGTGGGTGTGCAGAGGGCACGAGGACGTGAGTGGGGAGGAACGGGTGGGAGGGGGAGCTAGAGGACTTTCATGGAGAGGTTACAAGGAAAGCATCAGAATGAGGGGGTAACGGGCAGGTTGAAGATGAGGAGGCGAAAGGCATCGTATTAAGGGGGAAGGGGAGGAGGCGAGCAAGGGAGCGGGAAGGGGAGAAAGGGAGAGGGGAGCAGATTAGGAGGGAAAGTGGGTAGCGAGGATGGGGCCAGAATGAGAGTAGGGATTGAGGCAGGAAAGGGGCTGGCTGACCCATCTGACTTTGGAAGAAACGGGAGCTGGGGGCTTTGAAGAACAGGCCCTGGGTGCGAGCAGCTTCTCTCCCCCAGCCCCACCAGGTCCAAGATGCCCAGGATCCAACACCGCCGTGGAATGGGTGCCAGGAATCCGCACGAGCCGGGCCGACGGGGTCCAGGTGGGCATGCATGGCGCAACCTCGGCCCCCGCTCACCTCTGGCGTGGTCCGGCTGGAGCTGCAGCTGGGAGGTCCCGAGTCTCCGGAGGCGTCACTCCTGTGCGGACTCGGCTGTCTCTGCCTCAAGGTTATCCCGACAGTAGGGCCGCCGCAATCCCTCCGCCGCCCCGCCCCCGACCCAATCCTGGCTTCCCGCTCGCCCGGCCCGCCCTTCTGCGTGCTCACGGGGAGCAGTCATTCAGAAGGAAGTGCCGCGAGGCCGGAACGGGCCTGCAGGTTGCCCTTTTGGGGAGGACTATATTCTGTGGCGGAAGGACACTGTACATTGACTCACGGTGACGCTCGGTGGAGGCCAATGAGGAAGCGAAGAGGCGGCAGGATCCGCCCTCGGAGCCCCGCAGACCTCCTCCTCCCCCCCCAGACCCTCGGGCGCCTTGGCCACCTGTTGCCGCCAATTAGCACGTTGAGGAGGGCTCCTCTCCTGACCCTCCGTCCAGGCCACCCTGATGCCCTGGCCTATTGGGGCGGTACCCAGATATAGGGGTCCCCGGCAGCATTCCCTCAGCGCCGCCCCACCCCTCCAGATGCCCATCCTAACGCACACCTCGGAGACTGAGCTGAAAAGGAGGTTGGGGAGCCTGAGATGGGATCAGAAGGTGGGGAGAGACGGAGATCGTGAGCTGGTTGGAGGTTGGGCCCTCCTTTGGGGCGCTCGGACTCGGGAGTGGGGGAAGGGAGAACTGGGGAGGGCGCAATGTACTTGGAGCGCGAGCGCAAGGCCCTTCTGTTCTTAGGGTGAGGAAGCACAAATTGGGGCCATGTGAATACAGTACTTTAGTAGGGCTGAAATCCCTGAGAGTAGAAATCCTATAGAAGGTATTAATATTAGTGCAGAACTGACCATCAGGAAATACTAAGTCAGAATATGAGAGTCAATGATCTTTGCTGGAGTCAGCACTTCTGTTTTCAACCTTGTATATTTATATCAATATTGTTGTTTTTCTTACATTTTCTCCAAGGCATTTTCCAGTTTCTCAGTAATTGGCTAACAACCAGTGATAACAGAAGTTGTATCAGGAAACAAATGTAAACCCTTGCCTTTATTCAGCGAAGTTTTGAGAGCAGATACAATGTTGCTTCATTAAAAATCGTTAAGACTCTTCTTTTAGGTTCTTTGCTTTTCCTGGAAAATTAGACCAATGGATGTGACCTGCTCAGGCAGACACTGCTTGCAGCTGAATCACAGGCCTTCATTCTGCTTTCCTTTAGCTCAGATAAGCTGGGAGGAAAAAGTGAGCCCAAAAGTAAATTTCTGTTTGAGATAAAATCTTTTAATTTCTTCTGTGAGCCTATTTGGGTCCTTAGTTGAAGACAGGACGTAAATGCTTGTTTATTGAAGTGGTGAGAGCACATGAAGTTGTTGAAAGAAAAAAAGGCCATGCCCTACCAGGAGAATCATATTCTTCCCTATTCAGAGAGAGAGGAATGGCATAAGTGGCCCTCTTTGGCTCCTTAGATAAGTACAGTGGTGGACAACTCTGGAGGTATGGGGGATAGTGATCTGGTCAATGTTGTACTATGTTGCATTTTAAAGTTCTAAATCTAGATATATGATGGAACCTTGGTTCTTGAACATAACTTGTTCTGGAAGGCTGTTCAAGAAGTGATTTGTTTGAAAACCAAATCATTTTTTCCCCATCAGAAATAATGCAAGTTGAATTAATCCTTTCCAGACTCACAAATAATTCCGTTTTAACCTTTCTTATATACTGTTTAATCTATAAATAAACACTTCTTTTCTTAAATTTATCAAACCTCCCCTTACTAGCCTTAAACAAAGTTCTTTCAGCACACATTCCAGGGGTGTCTTTCAGCATGCAACATCTTTGCTTGCTCATATATCACTGCCTCCGAAATGCTGTCAGTCTGCTTTTGGATAAAAATGTTTTTCCAGCCCTAGCTGGTTTGGCTCAGTGGATAGAGCGTTGGACTGGGAACTGAAGGACCCCAGGTTCGATTTGGGTCAGGGGTGCATGTCCGAGTGGGGGGCTCAATCCCCAGTTGGGGGCCTGGAGGAGGCAGCCAATCAATGATTCTCTCTCATCTTTGATATTTCTCTCTCTCCCTCTCCCTCTCCGAAATCAATAAAAATATATTTTTTAAATGTTTTTCCAAACCTGTAAGTTTTTCTAACTCTTCAATTGTATATGGTCATTGTTTCTTTCACACCCTTAGCAACATTAGCACTGATGGCCTCCTTACATTTTAAAATTGTGCTAGCAACAAAATTTCGCCAGCAACAAAAGCATTCTCTCCTTGTTGCCAGACAGATGCTGTCATGCTGAGGTATCAGCAAGAAAAGGTTGTCAGGTCGAAAACCAAAACCGAAGTTTGGTTCAACAACCGAGACATTTTTTCTGTGAACAACTTGGTCGAGATAAAAGATGTTTGAGAACTGAGGTTTGACTGTATTTCCAAGATTGAAATGCACATTTATTAAACTAGAGAGTTGGTTGCAAACTGTTGGTTACAGATGTTGATCATCCAATAGTTATAAAAATGCTGTCCATGAAACTCTGGCAGAGACAAATGCAGCATATCCTTGCTCACATTAGATGCATAGTGAAAATTTGTCACATCGAGTTTAAGTTGATTGTCATTTTGCTGAAAAGTAGCATAGTATAGAAGAAAGCTTGTGTTTCATCGTTATATCTTAGTTACAATTCCATTCACTAGCCCTATGACTATTCCTGGAATTTAATGTGTAAGAGTCCAGTTCCTTAAAAGTAAATTGAACAATGGACAGAGACAGTAGGGGATGAGGACATGTGCTGGGGGTTGGGAGTGGCCAGGGAGAGGTCAATGGGGGGAAAAGGAGACTCATGTAATACTTTAAACCAGCGGTTGCTAACCTTTTGGACCTCACGAACCACCAGTGGTCTGCAGACCACCAGTTGGTGACCACTGCTTTAAACAATAAAGAATTTAAATTAAAAAAAAGGAAAGAAAAATTTTTTAAAAAGTAAACTGAAGACAATTCCTGCTTCATAGGATGGGGTTTGATCAGATGTCAGCACAAGGCCCAATAGGCATCCTCTTTCTTTGGGAATTGCTTGTTCGGGAGGGTTGTTCTTGTGACTAGTGCCAGGACATCTTTCTGAATCTAATAACTCAGTTTGCTTTTCTATTGGCCATCCTCCTGAATCTTCACTTCTATCAACCCAGCAACAAGTAATCCCAGGACTACAGGAAACTGGACAGCTGAGGAAGAACAGACTCTCCTGGAGGCCAGGCCCCTCTCCCTAGAGCCAGTCCTTCCACTGTGCTCCCTGACCTAGCAGGATGGGAGGGGTAGCCGCTAGATTCACTGGTCTGGGGTGTGAATGAGATATAGATTGCTGTTACCTGTTTGGATTCTAGGCCACAGAACCACATAATCTGGAGTTTAATGGCTTAACTCTCAAAGGCCATTTGGAGTTACTGGTAGGGGTAGGTGTGTCAGCAAACGATACTAGATCCAACCTTGGAGCCCAAAGATGAGCTTTGGCCCTAGTTATAGGCTTTACCATTATGTGACCTGTTGGCCTGTACCTGAAACAGCAATATTATTTCTCTCTCAGGACAATACAGATTTCCAGAGCAGCCTATAGGCCCTGAATGTCAGGTTTAAAGCAGAAGTATTTTAACTTTGGACTTTATATGCCCTTTCCAGAGCCAGACCAAGTAGACATTTACATTTATTCAATGTCTTCCTTTAGACTCCCAAGATCTCTTCAGGCCCACCAGGGTAGCACAAAATCTTAATTCCAGAGTTCCCTCCAGAAAATCCTAGATGGAAGAGAAAATTGGCCTTTTGGAGTTAAGGATAAAGGGAAAACAGGTTGTCTGGGAAAGAGGTTTCATGGAGGAAGAGATGGAGGGTTGGTCAGGACAGAGATGGGTATAGGAAGGCCATTCCAGGGGAAAGAAACAGTAAAGAACGTGTTCTGAATGCAACCATATATCTGGTGCCCCCTTGAAGAAATGCCCCATCAGCACTTAGAAGCAAGAGGGAAGAAGCAGAAATACTGCTTCAGCCAACATGACCCTGTCAGCTGAAGTAACCACCAGCAATCTTTTTCTAGTCCAGGACTGCTAGGGCTCACAGGACAAGCCTCCTTAGGGCAGGTTAACCTGTCCACCAAACCACTCCCTTGGAGGCCCTTTTCCCTACAAGTGTAGCCAGAACTCAGGCTCCCTAAGATGCGAATGTAAGCAGATCCCATCTCCCAAAAGTAATTAAGATTTGGAGGACTGACCAAGAAAGGTATCAGTAAACAATGGATCAAGTGCCCCCTTCCCCAGGAAGTCCTGTTGCAAATCAACCAGTCTGCCTTTTCCTTGGCACCTTGCTTCTGTTAGGGGCAAAGATAGAATACTGGGAACTAGCTATAGTTATGGGAAATATTAATCATGCTCTGTTAACCATGATTGCCTTGTGTTGGTTAAAGAGGGGACATTCTGGAGGACAACCAAGATGGCGGCATAGGTAAACACCTGAACTTGCTGCCGCGTACAACCACATTAAAACTACAACTAAAAGACAAAATGAATAGCACCCAGAACCATGGGAAGGCTGGCTGAGTGGAAATTCTACCACTAGAAGGAAAGAGAAAAGCACATTGAGTCCGGTAGGAGGTGCAGAGGTGTGGAACTGTGGAGGTACAGAGGTGTGCACGAAAGGGGCTGGCAGCTGGGTACGCTGTTGTCTATTTCAACTGGGAGGGAGATACAAGCTCCCAACTGCTCTGAAATCCAGTTCTGGGCGAGAATCTGGGGACCCAGACACATACAGAGAGAAACTGTACTGTCTTGCATCGGGCCTGAATGTGAGGGCGGCTTTCTCGCAGAGGTGCTTGCAGCATTCATTGTTCCTGCATGGGGCTGAGGGACATAGAGACCCAGGGACCTAATGGGGGAGGGCCAATGGCAACAATTGCTGTTTGTACCGCCTGTGACTCCCTGAGACCACGCCCCACCCAATTTACAACCCCACCCAAGCTGTGGGCAGAGGCTTTTGCATACTAATGGCCTGGCCTTTCTCCGCCTAAAAACCTGTCAAACTGAAGCTGGGTCAGAGAAACCCAGAGCTTCCAAAAGGCCTAAGGCTCATCAGCAGCCTACATTACTTCACAGCTGTGCCTCATCTGGGCACCTCCAAACCCCAAACAAAGAGGAGGAATCTGCAGATCTCTCTGTAGCTCCTGCTGGGTAGCCTCAGGCAGTGGGTGACTTTGCACCCCCTAGGACAGTTATGGTGAACCTTTTGAGCTCGGCGTGTCAGCATTTTGAAAAACCCTAACTTAACTCTGGTGCCGTGTCACATATAGAAATTTTTTGATATTTGCAACCATAGTAAAACGTATGGGCCAAACCCCATACAAAGAAGAAGAATCTGCAGATGTCTCTGTAGCTCCTGCTGGGCGGCCCCAGACAGTGGCTGACCTTGCACCTCCTTGGAGGACCATCCAGATTACAACTCTTCACATCCATAAGAGACACACTCAGGGGGCAGACTCAGTGAGCACCAAAGCCCCACTGAAGCAAGTCCTGCCCCATAAGGGTGTCTCCAGCACAGAAGTTCTCCCACTGCAGACACAACTGGTCCTCGAAGCCAATTGACCTGGAGGTCAATTCCTATCAGTGATACCAACAACAATCAAGGCTTAACAACAAGACTGTGCACACAGCCCACAAAGGGGTGCACCAAGAGTGTCCACCTCAGGTAATTAGGGAGGCTGAGCCACTGGGCCCTATAGGACACTAGCACACA